ATGCCAATAAAGATATAAATTCAATTAAATAATGATAAGATAACGCCGGATATTATTGAAGTCATTAAAGTCATTATGTATGCCTTCCACTGCCTTCGCACTCGAATGGTGACCGTTGGAATTGAACCTTGTACTAAATCGTAGAAGGTCACCGCTCTCGCTGCCTCAGTCCGTGTACCTCCACAATATTTGCGATGTACAAATATATTTCTATACGACATTATGTTTTTTAAACAAGTTTTGTTTATTTTGAATTAACGAAGACATCTTTTAACAATCTATGAATACTAAGTTAGTTATGAGTTTATACATTCTATTTGATTCATCCATTCAGACGGCCTCGATGGTGTAGTGGTTTAACACACCGACTAACTTCCGATGGTCGCAAGTTCCTTTTACTATTAGTCATAGCGTGATGTAATCTAGTCTATAATATTCCCTTATAAATGGGTTATGTAACATTAGGAGACTTTTCAAAATCGGTTCAGTAAATTCTGAGAACCCTACAACCTCTCAAACTTTATTTCCTTATAATATTAATATTGATCTCTATCTACTTAAACAATTAGCATTCTATTGTTTGTTTTAAATTAAAATTTATACTGAAATAGCCAATTTTATATATTTATGTTAAACTAATGTATGTAATGTTTTAATAAAGAAAATGATTCTTGAAAAGAGACATAAATTTGGTGACATACCTCAAAAACTTAGTATCTACGAGTAACTACATAATGGGAGCGAAAAAAGAAATTTGAACTCTTAACTCTCTAACTTTTTTTATTAAGCGTTAAGCTGTCAACAAGTTTGGGAGTTGACGTGCGGAAAATGGAAGAAAAACTATACAGAGATCGTAAATGCCATCATTCACGTCCGGAAGATAAAATGTAGGGTAGGTTCCTACCATAACACTATTCGTCGTGCCTTTTCAATGAAGTCGATCCGGATGAACTTCCATATCTCCATCCCATCCTTCCCCGAGGTCGTCAAGTTATGGTTGTATTTTAACTCTAAATATGTGTGTATCGTCTTGGTATAGAAGTTTATTACTCTAACGTAAACCTCAAAGGTTATTAGTTCGAAATTGACTAAAATATTTGTTAGTTTATGACTACTTACGAATGTGATTACATAGGTAGCAAGACAAGTCAATGATTCTATTATCTAAATGAAACTGGGTTTTTTTTCTATTATATAAGTGTCGCGTACCAAGCAGTAACAAAACGCAATACAAAGGGAGCGTTCTGATTGGACCGCACACCCATCCAATTTAAATACGCAACGTAACGTACATACTTCAAATATCAACCGATCGATATATCGTATATTTGTTCACTCATCCATAATTTCTAATAGTATATTTGCCATTAAATTTAAGATAGTAAGCAAATTCTATCATTTTCTACAACCCGTAATCTGCTGAAGCCATCACCTACCACCTGAGCATTCGAGCCGCATCAACACGTACCAATAAGTATATTTGTACCATTGGAATGATACAGAATTGAGTTCATTTTATCCCTTTTAGAGATAGTGCTTCGAAATTCTCATTATCATTTTCTTATTATTTCTTTCTTTGTGCGAAAATTCTTGTGAGCCCAATTTAAATACTTAGTCATCCCTTTTTAATTTTTAATTATTATTCGAGCGTTCCACAGTGATTTTTATTTCAAAGATACCACTCTTAGTTATTACCGACCGTTGGATAGTAATTATTATTTTCATTTGGACTTGGAAAATCTAGGGAATTTCAAATTGAAGTTACGAAACGGTGATTTGTGTTAATTTTTTCACAATTGATAAATGGAGGATTAGCATGTGAATTGTTATAGACTTTGTATAAAGTCAGTTTGGGTACTTCTTGCCATTTTGCTCTATGAGCTGTATTCTGTTTGTAGGGTTGGATACGGTAGTGTATCATATCGTATCGTAGCCTAAAGTGCCCTAGTCAAACGGCCACGAAGGCGTTCGCATATATGAGATAGGTCGAGTAGGGTGAGATAGGTCGCCCTAACAACGAGAAAGGGCCTGCCCTACACCATGTACAGGGTGGGCCGACGCGCCGTCGGAGCCGCGGATCAAATGTTTGTACTATGCGAGGAATTGAATCCGCGACCATCGGAAGTAAGGCAGTATGCTTAACCGCTAGACTACAGAGGCCGTCATATTGATTAACATTTACGTTTGTGTATGATTGCAACCAGACGACCTCAAGCATAAAGCAATATACTATGTAAATAATATGTTACCTTTGATTTATAAATCGATTTTCAATCATTGTTATATTATTATAATTATTGCTACAAATATGATAATTTTTAATGACCTCGTTAGCATAGCGGTATAATAGTGCCTCAGAACACAGTGGACGCGATATCGATTCTCGAAACATACAAATATTTATACTTATACGTGTTTGCATGGATCAGAGTTTTCTGTTGATTGAAAATTTATGTCCAGATTTTGCTGTAAGCTATGATAATTTGAAGCATGTGTATGTTTTATATTATATATAAAGACAAGTTTAATAAAGAAGATTTCAAGCATTCAATGTGACTTTAAACTCTTTCGATTAAAGATAAAATTTCGATGAAAGAAATCTGATTTCGCAGAATATAATAAAAAAACGTAGAATTATAATAATAAATAATAATAATAATAACATCTCTGGACAATTCACATAGCGACATTTAGTCCTAAGCGAAGCAGAGCTTCTGTTTTGGGTAGTAGACAACTGATATAAATACTGAGATACTATTTTTAGTAAATACATACATAATATACATAGAAAACAATACAGAAACTAAACTCTTTCGAATAATGAATGAAATCTGTTTCCATTTGGCAGAACACAATAAAAAACCCCGTACGATTGAGGACCTCATCCTTTTTGAAGTCGGTAGGATATCATGTGGGTGGAAACAAACAAAAGTTGCCAACTCAGTTTATTGCGTGTCATGAAAGAGCAAAACTGCTGTAATGGAAAACTATTTGGAATGTTCTCCAATTTGTTGTTTTGAACTCTCTAAATTGTATTTTACAATGTTTAAAGTAAAGTTATAGGCCGACGAGGAATGTATTAATAAATAACTGCAACACACGGGCTTGTCTCTATATCTAATATTGAAATTTTAATAAATTTCTTTGTTTACATTTGGTAGGTATGAGAAAATATAATATTCAAATTCAAATTCAAATTCAAATTCAAAAATCATTTATTCATGTAGGACATTTTAGCCGCTTATGAACGTCAAGTTTTTTATTTCATTTTCATTTCGTTATAATTATATTTTTTTTGCCCTACCATTCAGTTCGGTATATAAATCCAATTGAGAAGAACTGGCAAGAAACTCAATTGAATTACTTTTTTTTTTAAAAGCCAGTTTATTTACAATGCATTTATATAGGTGTCCATGTCTAACATTAAATGAAAATCCCGAACATGAAAACTATTGCATGCACGCTCGTCATTCAAGTAATCGTTTAGTGAGTAATAGGCCTTGCTTCGTTTAGTGAATAATTATATGTGAGGACAATTCACACAACGTTATCTAATTCCAAGCTAAGCCGAGCTTGTGGCGTGGGTATATATTTATATTTTTTTATTTAGTTGGTTGGACTTTTGTTAGGTTCTTGGACCTGTAGTACTGCGACCTACATAGATCTATTGTGCTCGCCCCTTTTTCAGAGTTCGCTTCCTAGTACCCGTCAGGGGCAAGAATTGAAGAATATTCTTAGGAGCGATGGTTTTTATCTCCTCAGGACAGAGTGTAAATTTTCCAAAGGAGATTTTACGTTTATGAATAAGTGGGCTATAGCCACGTAGGATGTGTAGTGGCGTTTTCTCTTCTGTTTGGTGTGGGTACTAGACTAGACACTGATATAAATACAAAGATATTTAATTTTTTTTTAATACATCTTCCTAATATTATAAACGCGGAAGTTTGTGAGTATGGATGGATGTTTGTTACTCTTTCACGCAAAATCTACTAAGTTAATTTCAATGAAACTTTACAATAATATGGCCTGTACATCAGAATAACGCATAGCCCATAAATTTCATGCGGGTGAAACCGCGGCCACAACTAGTACATAATACAACATAAAAATAGAAACGAGGAATTGAACCCGCACCATCGCAAGTCAAGACGTGTATTAAACCGCTGGACCCCTAAGGCCGACAAATCGTAACCTATTTTTTATAGACCTAGGTAATTGGCCCCATCCAGTAATAATTTTTTAATTGGCAAAACAACTATTACCGAGTCAGGTAGTGACTAAAAAAAGTGTAAATATGCTAACGTAGAATATTATTTACTAGTGTTAACTTATTTTATACGATATCGTCTAGTACTTTTTGCGTGATATAATAAAAAAAACGTAACTCAATATATAAAGAAATTAGCGTTTATAAAATTACTTGGATTTATTAATACACGAAGAAAATTTTTAACGACTTTCCATACACTTTGGATTACAATATTTGGTATAAATAAATTGCATCGTAAAATCCTTTGTGAAATTTAATTAAAAACGATTTGATTGAACAATCAAATTTCTTGGCAATTTTTCTCATTTGACGTCTGGAATTGTTAAAAGAAAACTATATGCTGTATTTATTGGACTTAAACGAAATTATATTATTATTATCACATTAATTACTATCAATACCTTATAGAAAATATTATTAATGTTATTATAATAAAAAATAACAAAATATTTATATCATAAATAAAAAGTATAAAAAATTAAATTCATATATTAATTAAATTTAAATATTAATTAATTTAATGAATATATAAAAAAAATGTATTTGTCACGGAATATATGAAATAATAAACGTACCTACATTATTATCTAAATTGTTCTAATACTCCAGTATAATTATATGTTTAAGTTCTACCTGTGGTTATAACATACAAGTGTACAATCTATCTTTTCTATTATACTTATATAAGTAATTTAAACACAATTATGAATGAAAAAATACACGTACTCACATAATCAACTGCCAAATTTTTATCCCAACTCACTACAACTCACTTTTAACGTCACACATATAAATTAAAATTAATAATTTACAATACGGCACTTGTTTATAAAATTTAGAGAAACGACGCGCGTGCGCTTATAGTCACGATCTTGTTGAAATAAACATTGGACTATACTATGAAAGGAAACACGCAAACATTGCAATAGGCACTGATTTGACTGTCGCTTTGCATTCATTGCGTATGAAAAGTAGAGTTATTACACTATGCAATAGAATATTATAGAGAAACAATTTATAAGACAACAAGCTTGTTGAGCAAGCTTGTCTTATAAGTTGTTTCTCTTATTAAAATCTGTCTCGTTAGCATTATATATTTGATATTTGTTTGTAAACAGGGTCGAATTAAAATTAGGAAATCCATTATTCAAATAAACTTATTTTATGTACTTTTGAATACTCACAGTTATCCTTCTTTTATTCCACCATTAGGAAAGCTATCATATCATTCATCATAAGAAGAACGAGCAAGAAACTTGTGTTGCTCTTTTAAATAATTGTTGTACATTTTGAAGTCGAAATCTCACATAATTTAAATTTAAAAACAAACTATTGCCTTTTACATAAAATTCCCTTACCACCCAACTTTAAACGATTCAAAATTTCGTATAAACAATATTATACGTATATAATGTAATTTATCAGTACATAGATATTTTTCTTAAGTGTTAAATGTAAATTTACATATATTTAAAAAAATAATCTATTTTATTCTATTCTATATAATAATAATAGGTCAGTAATACAATGACTATTGTCATTGAGTATAGAATATTTCCAAGTAAACTTTCACTTTATGAAACATTTTCAATTTCATATAAGCGTGGGTGGAACTCCTAACTGATACCCTATGCAGTTGCTTACTCTGCTAATACTTAAACTGGCTCTGTTTATAGTTATTTCATTTTGCATTGTATTGCGAGATTTCTAATAAATAAAAGAGGCGTCGGTGTCGGAGAAGTTGAAGAGTAATCGTCTGTTTTGGCATGGGCATGTAAATGCGTAAAAATGAAGATAATGTTTTAAGGAAGAGGCCAGAGAAAGGCCGAAAAAGAGATGGATGAAATGTGTGTAATATGATATGGCGAGAAAAGGAGTAAATAACGAGATGACTGCGAACAGGGATGAATGCAATAGAAGAACATATTAAGCCGACCACAAATAAATGGGGTAAAGAAGAAGCAGATGATAGCGAGATTTCGGCCCAGTAATTTAATAATAGTATAGATAAGAATGGTGATTGTTAATAATAGAGGCAGGTAGCCTCATAGCTAGGAAAGTATAGTAAAACTTCGACCTCCATGGTCCTCTTTGTAAGCTATTGTGGCTAATTTCTATGTTATTGTGCTGAATTAGTTATGTGATAGTTTTAGTCAAATAACAATATATCACGTGACCTATTTTTTCAAGGTTTTAGAGTAGGTATATGAAGTGTTCGTAAATTTAAATATAGTTCAAGAATTTTATTGTGTAATTACTAGTATATTTGAGGTCACCTCTAAGGATCGAATTGTACAAGGAAACTTCCTTATGATGTATGTAACATTCTTGAGATCGTATTGTATTAAAGTGGGCTCACATTATCAGGTCCAGTCCAGACGATGATGTTAGATTGGCACATTTCAAAAGTGGGCGGGGCATAGCTGCTTTTTCACCAATCAAACGGCTGCATCGTGAGTACAGGCCGTTTAACATTGATCGTAAATGTGACGGGACCCTTAGGTATATATTTGTGTATGTTATACTACGGGAAAATCCGTTACACGAATAATACCTGAGTGAACAGGGAATCACTGTACAAAATTAAATTTTCCTTGATGCAGAGGTTTGGTCCGTGCGGTTAGTAAGCTGTGAGTAATTTAATTCATTATAATTAGGTAGGTATATCGAAAAATACATGGTACTATAATTCCAGAAGGGATAGACAGATCCACTTATGTATGACATTTAACATTTAAATCTTTTTTTGTACGATCTGGTCGATCATCAGATATAGCGAGAGTTTTAAGTGGTAACGTCGTTTGCAGATTTTAGCCAACAAAAATATCTTGTCCTATTCAAGTCAAATAAATAAAAAGATGGGCCTAGCCATGGTGAAGAATAAGAAACTATTTTTTTAAAGAATTAAACTCCGTTGTTGTCGGTACCACAATTTCTATTGTGGAAAATGCAACACTATATTCTACAGAGAGTGGATATAATAATAATAACAATATTTCAGGACAATCCACACAGCGCCGTTTAGTCCCCAGTTAAGTAGAGCTTATGTTATGGGTACTAGACAATGAATATAAATGTATAAATATTTCTTTTTGTAAATACATACATACTATACATAGAAGACACCCAGATCGATACAAAGAATCATACTCATGAATACAAATATTTATACCGTGCAATTAATCAAACCCGCGACCATCGGAAGTAAAGCGTGTGGTTAAACTGCTAGACCACCGAATCCGTCATATGAAAACATTTTTTTTACAGAAATAGACTTTATAAAAGTCGTTTCCGTTAGTACATATGTCTCACTTAACCAGCTGCCAAGCACCTTGTCTTGTAAGTGTTATGAAGGCATCAATAAGGCGTCGAAATTATAATGAAAACAGAAACTGACGCTATTCATGTATCTTTATGGGCGGCGATTCTCACTTGCCATAAGGCAGGCCGTCAGCATGGTCACTATTTTAGTAACATATAAAAAGATTTTTATGTAACTTAGTTGTATTTACTTGTAATACCTAAACGTGAGGACGAAGGTGGTTGTTAGTAGTAGACCGTTGAACCCATTGCTAGCATAGGTTGAGCATCGTTAACTATACTATGTCTATAAATTCCTGGTGAAGTACGATGAACTGACTAACTTGATCTCATGCACAACTTATCATCCTTCACGGGTGCCCCGCCAGTGTAAACAGCTAGTCCAGGCGGGTGCACCATTCCATTATCTTTATTTATTATAAACGCGGTAGTTTGTGAGTATGGGTTGATGGATGGATAGATGTAAGTTTGTTACATTTTCAAGCAAAAACTACTAAATGGATTGCAATTAAACTTTACACTAATGTAGCTTATACATCAGAATAAAACACAGACTATAAATTTAACGCAAGTGAAACCGCGGACACAGTTAGTCATATACAAAAAAAAACCTAAATGTGTCAAGTTTCTTGGAGAAAGAGCACAAGTACCTATTGTAAATTGAAATTTCCTTCCTACACAGATTTACTTGTTTTTTTCTTAATTACTTCTTACAACATTCTGTACATGAAGACGAGTGACGCGTTGTATTCTTACTCTGTTACCTCACGGAGAATATTATATCATTACACAATGACCGAGAGTGTTACAAAACTACTTACCTACTTTATTATTACACATAACTAATGAAGGTTTCTATAAGGTTACAAATATATCCGCTCGGTACTTTCGACAAGCATGACTATTACATTTCATTGATTAATTTTAGGGTTCCCAAAAAAACACTGACCGCTATCATATAACTTTATATTCTACGCGACGTGATAGTTTGTAATAATAATATTATTAATAATTCTAAAAACTATGATACCGAATAATTTAGAGAACAAAAAAAGAATAAATAAATAATAATAACCCTGGACAATTTACACAGCGCTATCTAGTCTCAAGTAGTATTAGAACTTGTGTTATGAGCACTAGACAACTGATATAAATACATAGGTACATTTTGTTGTACATTTGAAACACCCAGACCGATACAATCGATCATACTCATGAATACAAATATTTGCCGAGCGAGGAATTGAACCTGCGTCCATCGGAAGTAAGTAAGGCGGTGTGCTAAACGGCTAAACCATTGAGGCGGCCATTATTAAAACAATAATGCCATATACACTTTATATATGTTTATATTTTGGCTTACAGAATTACTCCTTTGAAGGTTTTTTAAAACCCAAGGAGTAAATCAGTATTATTTCATATTAAATTAAAATATTCTATACATTTCATAATAATAATGACACTCTTTATTGTGCGTTGAAAAATAATTATAAAATAAAACTTAACATAATAATACTCGGCGGCGAAAAGGCGGTCTCAACTCTTAAAGCAATCTTTTACAGACATCCGGGGTTAATTAAATAATATTTAGATTTAGAATAGAATAGAATAGAAAATCATTTATTCAAATAAACTTACATTGAAGCCCTTTTGAATAGTCATAACATTTTTTTTTTAATCTACCGCTCATTCGGAATGCTGTCTCATCACAAGAAGAATAAGCAAGAAACTTGTGTGTTGCTCTTTTAAATAATTTATTCTTACTTACAATTTAAGTTTAAGTGTGTGAATACAAACTACCGATTAGCACTAATTCAATGAAATAGAAAACAAATGATGTACACGTGGACGATTTCGCGGGCACTACTAGACCACATAATAAAATCTCTTACTTTATTTCAACTATTACTTCTAAATTACAAAAATAAATAGTTTATTAGAAACTAGCTACTTGCCTTGGTTTCGCACGGGTGTACATGTATTATGTATATAAAACTTCCTCTAGAATCACTCTATCTATTTAAAAAAATCCGCTTCAAAATACGTTGCGTAGTTTTAAAGATTTAAACATACATAGGAACAGACAGTGATAGCGACATTATTTTATACTATGTAATGAAGAACGTAACAGTTCTATAGTTAAAATAATAAATCATTATACATTTGTGGATTTTATGAATAAGGCAGTAATTTTATTACAATCTAAATTACTACAGTTGAAGAATAGTTCCTTTAGAGAGAATATTATAATGTTCAATTTGAAGGGAATGAATGACACCCACCATCAAATTGGTTAACCAATTACTTGCTTGGGTTCACCCTGTTTTTCAGTATAAAGCAAATTTAGCAAGTATTTATGATAAAGCCTTTAAGTGCTTAAGCATGTACTTAGACAGTTTAATTACTTAATTAAATTTTAGAACGGTTTCTTAACTTTCGTATAAAATATATTTAGAAAGTTGTCTAAATTTTGTTATGTATAGGAAGTTTTCTATGACTATCCCATCCAGAATAACAGTCGTGAATAATTTTAATTATAAATGGTTT